ACTCTCCTAGACTCGTAATTGATGGTACCCTAATCTCAGGTCGATCTTCGAAAAGTATCTTGCTCCTTGGAGTTGGTCGAATAGATCGTCTATTCTGGGAAGAGGGTATCGGTTCTTAATGGTAAGTTTGTTTAGTTTGTGGTAGTCTATGCACTTTCGGAAAGATCCATCCATCTTTTTTATGAACAAGATCAGTGCTCCCCAAGGTGAGAAGCTCGGTCTAATGAATCCCTTACTGAGCAGTTCGTTTAGTTGGCTGGATAAATCCTGCATCTCCATTGGTGCTAAACGATATGGGGATTTGGCTATGGAGGTAGCTCTAGGAATCAAGTTGATTCGGAACTCGAAATGGTGTTCAGGAGGAACTCTTGGAAGGTCTCCGGAGAAGATATTAGTAAAGTTGCAGACTTCGGGGATGCTCGAGGTCTTTAACTTCTTGTTTTCCATTAACTACATGAGCTAGGAATGGGTGACACTCCTTTCGAAGATATTTTTGGACTTTGATGCATGAAATGATGCAGAGGTTTGTACTGAGTTTGTTGTTGTAGATAATGAGGGCTTCGACATTTGGTAGATTAAGGCAAATGGCTTTTCCGTAGCATAGAATATTAGCACGGTGAGGACATAACCAATCCATGCTGATGATGACAACGAAGCTTTTTGAAGAGACCGTCATAAGGTTGATTGGAAATGAATAGTCGTTTAGTGTAAGGGTACAACATATGAATACATCGTTAGTGCTCTCTTTCTTCTCGTTAGCCATCTCGACAGTGAATGTTTCGCTTAGTGATTGGGCTTTGTGTTTGAGTACGTGTTTGAGTTTATGGCTTACCAAACTCCTCTCTGTAGCACTATCAAAGAGAATGCATGCATAAGAGTTATCGAGGAGGAACATACCCATGACTACGGTGGGGTCCACTACCTCCTCCTCCTGGCCCATTGCTAGCACTCTTCCTGTATTGCAAACATTTCTTTCTTTGGGGAAATCCTTCTTGTAATGCCCGGTTTCACCACACCCATAATAGGCCTAGCTTACTCCAGCTCTGGGGGTTTGAGCATTAGGTTGTGAAAGTGTCATGCAGAAGCGGTCTGTATCCCCTTTTTGTTGCAGTTGGTGCACTGCATCTCACGAAAAGGTCTGTGGAGGTGAGAGTTGCATTTATTACATAGCGGGATGTTTCCAGCATATATGTTGAGAGGTGTTGGAGTAGTTGGAACAACACCATGAATGGTAGCAACATGGGCTGCCACTGTTTGCTTTTTATTTGAGGGCTCCTGGGAAGATTGGTCCTTTTGTTTGTTCCAGAACTTCTTTTTACCACCACTATCTTCGGGCTGATCAGGAATGGCTGTTACAGAGTCTTGGCGATCTCTGAGATCCACTAGTGTCTGTGACAGATGCTTGACACTATCAAAAGTAAGTGGATTGGCAGCTAGGACATTTCCTTGAGTCGGGGGAGTCAATCCCCATATGAATCTTTCCATCATGTTACTCTCCAGGGTGACCATCCAGGGACACAGATGAGCCAAGTCACTGAACATAACGATATAAGCAGCGATATCGGATCTCTTCATCTTTAGACTTCACAGCTCCTGCACTCGTTTTTTCATATTGCCCCTTGGGCAGTATTCTGCTAGCATTAGTTCTTTCAAATCATCCCAACTCACAGCATTGGCTATCAGGAGAGTTATGGACTTAACTTGGCTGTTCCACCAAGTAAAGGCTCTGTCTGTGAACGTGCATGCATCAAATTTCACCTTCTAGACTCAGGGCATGCACAGATTTCGAATATTGATTCGGTATTCTCAAACCAATATGTTAAGGCAGTGACACCTCCAGTGTCATCGAAGGATCGAGTTCTGGCATTGGTGAAGTTCTTGTATGAACACTCCTTAGGGTGTCCATGACTATCTTTGAGGTTTGATGGGTTGGCACCACTACCCTTCCTGCTAGTGCCATTTTCATTGATATGTGACATGGCAGCAGCCATGGCGGTTGTTACTGTTGCTTGGAAGACAACAAGATCATACTGAGGAGGTGGTGGTGGATTTGATGGTGGGTTGTTGTTCTTTCTGTTGGACTTCTTTGGATACATCTTTCTCTATAATGATTTAAGACAAAATGATGATAAGTCCTCTATAGTGTTCATGAATTAGGTGATATTGAACAAGGTATATCTTATCCTGACAGTTATAGTGTTCTATTAAGCGATTTACAGTAGAATTCTGCTAATATAAGTAAACAATCGCTGTGAAATTTAGAGCAACACTTACAGTGAATTTGTTTACTGTGACTTGTGCTTGATCCCCCTGTAATCTGATTGTGTACACAAATTATTTGTAACTTATATGTATACACTTAGCAATTATAGATCTATCAACAAGGGTTCTTTGTTTTCACGTGTTTGACTCTTGTGTTATAGTGTTATAAAATACTCCTATTGTATTTTAACTGTATGTTCGGTTCTAGTGTTTCCTTTGTGTAGAGTTTTGTAAGTTGTAGACCTTTTGCAACACCACAATCACTACCAAACATATGTTGGTCATATCTCAAATAAATATAGTTGATCAGGTTATATTTATCCCAAAATTGATTACATAACTATCCAAGTTTAACCGTAGTTTCCATCATCTAAACACCTTTGTTTTGTTTCTTCTTGTGATACTATTTCTAGTATGTATGTATGTTCGTATACTTCTTATAAAATACTTCGATTTTAAAGGTATACTTTTAGTTCAGAGCGCTTCGGCCCCATAGTGTTTATAGTTGTATATCTTGTAAATTTTGATATACTTAGTTCATTATAAACAATGCTCTGATACCAATCCGTCACACCCCCAAATCGGAATAGCGAAAACGTTCGGGGGCGGAGGACGTCATCTACAGTATCACAACAAGTGTATAATAGGTATCAAAGGAAACACAACCATTAGATTGATAAAGCGAAGTGTTTACATATGTTCGATACATAGTTTGTATGACATCAAAAGTGTATAACAAAAGTATAAAAGATGTAACTCAAAAAGCTCTGTCTTCTCAAAACCTGTGGGTGTACCTATCAACCGGTTCCCTGAGAATACAAGTGGTTTTGAAAGTGTATCAACACTTAAGTTGGTGAGTTCATAAGTATGCTTAACTGATGGAAAACTTGTCTCTGTACTTTTAAAATAATAGTATGTTTCTCCATAAAATCCAATATTTTCTATAGTGTATGTAATGTAGCCTTAGGCCTTAAGACCAAAATGTGTGTTGTTATAGTGCTCTGTTGTAGTCTATGTATTCTTATGGATAAAATAGTGTATTGTAGTAGTGTTTGTTATGAAAACCTTTGTATGAATGACTGGATACCACCATTGGTAATGTATAGTAGTGTACTGTTTTTATGAAACCTTTGTATGTAAGCCTGGATACCAGCAACTCTAGTGTATAGTAGTGTACTGTAGATTCATTAATTAAAATAAAACCATTTAAGTAGTGTTAATCCCTTAAACAAATCTTTTAGTTAATATTCTTGTGAGTTTCATATAACCATGCTAAACTGACTAGTGGCCTCTACGATGTTCGCCATGTGTCGGAATGTTATTACGTTCGTCACCCTAGGCATGCCGGCCTAACTGCAGCTAATAATTTAGGTGCGGGGTTGTCAATCCCATATAGATCTATACACAAAGTCATTATGTCTCTCCAGGAGACTTTGGCTATAATTTATAGGACTTAGACGTATACCCCGAAGAGTACAATTAAAGTAGTGCCTCACAACCCTGTATTTACTAGTTTCCGTGTAGTGTAGTAGTGTTTTCTTGTACTTGAAACAGTGTGTATACCATTGTAGTAATGTAAAATTATTATACCTAAATAATTATTTAGTAGTGTATCCTAGAATCAATGTATTAGAGTATTGTTCCATAAACTATACCAACTATGCTTTATATACTCGTTCTAAGTAATGTTCTTGAACTTGTAAAATAGAGTAATGTCTTCCAAACTATACTTGTTATAGTTTAGATGTATGTTCTTGTTTTGTGTATTGTACTTAGCAAATTTATGTAGTGATTCCCAAACTATACCAATTATAGTTTAAATGTAATGTTCTGAAAACCTTTGCAATTTAACTATATGTAAACATTTATAGTCAGAGAACTTGTGATAAACACTCATTTTCTTGACATGTTACAAAAGGGTCAAAAATATATAAACCTATATTTTCATAAAAGGTAGTAATAAATCGGTTTTAATCAATTGCAAAATGGTTTTGAAATCGTTTGAATATTAACACAAGAATCCTTGTGTTTTAGTGGTATCCCCCTCCCCCCCCCCCCAAATAATACATTGAAAAATAGTGAAAACATAGGGTATGAACTCACCTCTAGTGCGTATTCAAGGTCTGGATAGCGAAACTGTAGAGATGATCCTAGGGCTAGCGTACGTGCGAATTGTGTTATCCTAAAAATAGTTATATCTGACATCGTATTTAAATTAACATCATATTAATTTAAATGATGGATTAAATAATGATTTAATAATAATTAAAGTGTTAAACAACACTTTAATTATGTAAGGAATAGTTACAAAATTATTTGGAATTATTTAAAGTGTTGAAAGGGGTTTTCGGTGGGCTTAGGAAGTTTTCGGTGTGTTCTTTGTGGATGGTTGAAGATTTGAAGATTCTGATGAATGGTCTTTGTGTTCTAGGTGAAAATAAGAAGATCTGGATGGAAATATCTTGCTTATATACTGTTTACAGATGATACTTGAGAGCTAAGGTGGAAGTGTTCATGGTTTGAAAAGTGAGAAATGAATTGAGAGAAAAAGTGGAAGTGTTCTTGCATGAGATGACGCAACCTCTAATGTAAGCACTGGATCAGACTTCAACTCGCTTAAACATTTGAACACTCATTGAGAACTCATGTTGATTTTTTTTGAAGGAGAATCATAGGATTCAAAAGTTGGAGCTTGAGCTTTGAGATGAGGAAAAGTTTCATGTAGTATAAAGAGCATTTCATTGAATTTGTGGTTCGAAACATCCCCAATATGGTGAGTTGAATGGATGATTTTGATGAGCACCTCTTGCGTGACCATGTTCATGGCATATTTTTGAATTTCTTTTTTCCAACCATTGAATTTTCTTCTCATGATGAACATGAGTTAGCTTAATAAGTTCGTTGCTAGCAGAGATCATTTTTTCATGGATCTTGAGAATTGTGTTGATAGTAGAGAGGATATGATCCAACTTGTCCTTGTAATGTTCCCCGACTTCTTCTAGAGTGTTCTTCAGGAGAAAAGAGATAAGCTGGTATAATTGATTGGCTCTGTTAAGTTCAGAGGGAGCAATAACTTTGATATCAGAAAGAGACTTGAGGACAAGTTCAATTTTTGAATCAAGACTTGTGATCTACTTATTAATGTTGTCAACTTTAGATTTAGCAGTGACAACATTATCTCAAAGTTCCAACAAGGCAAAAAAATCTGCAATATTTTGATTGGAGGATCCTACATCTGAAGCAGAACTCTTAAACTTCTTGTGATGATTATCTTCATCATTATTTAATTCTTTAGGATTGGAATCATCGATTAGATCACATTGAGTTTGGTTTCCTTGATCTCCTTCCAAGGTGGCTTCAGGAGGAGTAGAGGAGAGCTTGTTTCCTTCATGATTTTCTTCTTCTACAGATTCCTTGGAACATGAGGAGAGACTAAAATCAAAACATGGTTTTGAGGAAGAAGATTTCTATAAAATATTAAAGGCAGTGGGATCCGGTATGAAACATATAGTGGTGTTATCATCTTCAAACATAATCTCATCGGAGGGGTCATGTTCAACATCAGGCTTGGGAATTTATACAGTAACAGATGTTGGAGGAAGATCATCTGAAACATTTGTGTAATCAGGAACATCTTCTTTAGTAGCAACTTCAATCTGAGGAGGATCATCCATTCTATTGTCAGGGGTGTGAACTTCAACACTTGGAGTCTTCTTCAAAGAGGTGAGAAAGGTTGAATCTCTTGATTTGTCTCTTCATTCGATGGAAAAGTGAAGGTAAGGTGACTTCTTCCAGCTTATCGACACATTAAAATTAGCATGTATTCAACTTGTTTTCTTGAGAGCTCTAAATGTATTGTATGGGCCCTATCAAGAAAATCTGCCCAATCCCTGTCAAAAATACCGGTCGTCCTTTACCCGAACCAGGTATCAGACCAGTTGTGGCTTTCAAAACCGGAGAGACTGCTCCTGCTTCATCAAGCTTGGAATCAGTGACAACGGTAATTGATTATACTTGTATAGAAATGAGATGCTTATTAAAGATAACTCGTAAGTGTGTCCAAGGGGGCACCAATGGAATTTGTTCAATACCAGAACCATCTTTTTGAGAAAATAAGGATAGATAATGATCAGAATCCCCATTTGTATGTGCAAGATGTGATTTTGAAACTTCGAAGGTTACTTTGGAATACTGGTAAGTTTTGATAGTATTGATAGAGTAGTATACTTCTTAGTTGTATGAATTGAGTGGAAAGGCTTCATGTCTCTTAGAGTAAAGTTATTGTAGAGTCCGAGCCAAAAATCTCGGACGTGGGATCTCATTCGGTTTCCTCTTGCTAGAAAACTTTATGAAATCTTGCCACAACACCGTCAATAGATCACTAAAGTTAGCTTTTCTCGTGAATTTGTTGTATACCACATAAAACCCATCTTTGCCCATAGTTTCTGCACCACCATGTTTGTCGAATAATCCCCAAAGAATGAAATGCATTATGATAGTCCATAAACCAAGAACATCTGGCTTCTTGAACTCCTAAGCCTTAAACTCAATATAATAGCCTATTTGGGTCAAGAATGACTGGAAAAACTCAGATGTTGGTTCCTACACTCGAAAATTTTTGGGCTTTTTCTATAATTCTAATCGCTTTGAGAAAGGTAGACTTGTGAATGAGCACCATCCTATCGTTAGTCATCTTCACTTCAAGAACAACATGTTTAATATTCACTCTTTTGAAGGATTTGTGAAGAAGTCTCAAAGGAAAACTAGGGTTAGGGATTTTGGTGAGAGGAATAGCGATGGGATGGTAGGAGATGAAGTTGATCACAATTCTTATAGACTCATCAGAATCCATCGGGTGAAGAGATGACAACTAGTTTGTTTCTCTAAGAATGATCTCGGTGGAAGAAGATCAAGAAGATCCATTGAATGATTTCTTCTTTGTTGTTGGTTTTGAAGGTTTTGATTCCATTTCAAAAGGTTTGTAAGTCATTCCATATGATTTGGAAAAGATTGAGGAACAGAGTATGGAAGAAAAGCTCTAAGGAGGCGATAACCAAAGTGAAAAGTGGGAACAATTAGGATTCAAAATCCATATATATATGTGGGGGTTTCCGGGTTGGTTCGAAGAGTTGAATGACATCACCTGAAATATGAGATGGATCGAATTTAATGCACAAGCTAAAAAGCCTTCTTATAATTAAGAACAAAATGATGTTACATTTGTTTCTTCAAAAGGAAAACCGTCGATTTAGATCAGAAAACAGTTAGTACTTTATTCTAATGTGTGCCAAAGATGTGTTTATAGAGAATTAGAGGATAATCATAAAGAAAATTATTGCTAAAATATTCTTGTTAAATATGTTTCAGAATCTTCACTTAAATGATAACCTTACACTTCAATTATTTAAAGAGTCTCAAAATAATTAGTTTTCAACATGGAATCTCATAAGACAATTAGGAAAGAATTAAAACATATCATTAATACATGATATAGATTTGGAGATAAACCATCTCTAAATGAATATCAAAGGTAAGAATGCATGAAGACCTTAGAGGATATGTTTTTGAAAAAATAGTTGAAGTTGCAAGAACTGAAGCAAGAGAGCTCGGATGGAGAAAAGTGATTAAATCACATTACCTTTTTGGATTTGAATTCCAAGGTGTACTTCATAGAGATTTTTCCAAGGCAAAATACTCTGAGATGAAAATATCTCAAGATATATGATGTAGCTATATCGGACTAAACTTTAAATGAGGAGGAATTCTGAAAAACTTAAAGACTAGAAGAAAATGATAGACAAAAAGATGTACATCGATCCTTTATTTTCCGAGAAGAAACAATTCTGAGGAGTAAAAGTTTTAATTCAAAATTATTTGCCTTACTAATGTTCCCATTAGAGAGTACAATGTTCTTGGAAGAATTGAGGATCATGCATCATCATTCCGATTTTGTGTAGAAACCTATTAAATTTGGTTTCATCTAATACCTTAGTAAAGACATCAGCATTTTCATCATCGGATGGAAAAAATGAGCTCAATGTTACCTTTTAGAACATAATCTTTAATAAAATGGAACTGAATATCAATGTTCTTTATGACAAAGTGCTGAATTCGATTGTAAGAGATTGTAATTGCACTTTGTGAATCACAATAGCTAGGAATTTGTTAAAATCAATAACTATAGTCCAAACACTAAGATTTTATCCATAGAACTTGCAATGTTCAGCTTGTAGCAACAATATATTTCCCTTTGGTTGTTGAAATAGAAATACAGTTCTATTTCTTGGATGACCAACTAACCAATCTTCCACCCAAACACCAGATGTACTTTTTCTATCAAGTTGAAGTCCTCCATAGTTTGAGTTAGAATAGGCTTGAAGAAGGAAATTATCATTTGCAGGACACCAAATTCGGAGGTTCTTTGTTCCTTTGAGATATCTAAAAAATTTCTTCACAGTCAAAAGATGAGATATCTTCGGAATAACCTGGAATCTAGCACACATAAATGTTGAAAACATGATGTCGGGACGTCTTGTAGTAAGGTAGAGTAGCGATCCAATCATTACCCAATACTTCTTCTGATCAATAGCAACACCAGATGGTTCTGGAAATATCTTGTGTCTGAAACCCATTGGAACCTTTATAGAGGCACATGTTTCCATTGAATATTTCTTTAGAAGTTCGGAAATGTATTTTTCTTGATGAATAAAGATTCCTCTATTGGTCTGTTTGACTTATAGTCCAAGGAAGAAGCTTTATCCATGATTCATACACATTTAGAATTGACTAACCGTCAGTTTTGCAAATTCTACAACCATCGTTGGACAAGTTGACCCAAAAATGATATAACCGACATAGATTTAACCTCGCATAAGATGTTTCCCATTTGTTCTTTGGAATAAGGTGGGACTGAGAACCCCTCTTTGAAAACTAGAACGCTTTAGAAAATCAGTGAGAGTCTTGTACCAAGCATGTGGAGCTTGCTTGAGGCCATAAAAAACTTTTTGGAGTTTGTAACAGTAGTTCGGATATGAAGGATTCACAAACCCAAGAGGCTGTTGAAGATATATTTCAATATAAAGTTCAACTTTGAGAAAAGCAATGTTTACATCAATTTGGTAAGCTTAAAAGTCTATGTGAACATCATAAGCAAGAAAGATTCATATAGCTTTAAGACTAGAAACAAGAGTAAAGATCTCTTCATAGTGAAGTCCTTCAACCTGAGTAAATCCTTTGGCTACAAATCTTGATTTGTTTCGGATTATGAATATGGTGTCGTCGAGTTTTTTTCGGAAAACCTATCTTGTACTAGCAATAGGGTGATCTAGAGGAGGGACAAAATTCCACACTTGACTTCTATCAAAATTTTCTAGCTCTTCTTAAATGGTTGTAATCCAATCAGAATGTTCTAAAGGTTCTTTGGTGGAGTTAGGTTCAACCATTGATATTAATGCCTAGAAGTGAAACTCATTTTGAATGTTAGTATCAGAGGAAGTTTGAACTCCAACATTAAGATTTCGAATAACTTGATTCGGAGGATGATCCTTAGCCAAATATGTAGTCTAGGAAGATCTTGCACAGCGGATGATCTGATATCAACAATAGGGTTATGTTGCCCCCCCCCCTTAACAATTTGAATTTAAGGATGATGCTTCCCTTGAACTTCTAAATCGGATATGTCAGCATCGCCATCATTCAGAAAATCAAAGAAGTTGACATCATCTTCATTGTTGTTCGGAATGGGATCGAATTCAACGAATTGATCCGCTACATCTTGAAATTCATTGACATCTTATTTGAGGGTTAGATAATTACTCTCACCTTCATCATGTACATGTTGAAATGTATCACAATTAAATGGAGGAAAGGTTGGGGTCGGACCAGATACATTTTGAGAAACCAGAGTGGCCGGTGAGGACAGTCTTGATCGAGATTCCAAATCAAGAGCAGTTTTTGTAGGTCCGAATAGACATTTAGAATAAACTTCATAGATAATTTAAGGATTCAGAGATCTAGGTGGTGGAGCGTTGGACTCCATGATATATGTTGTAAAATGAGTAGGAACTGAGTTCCAAGCAAAATTATCATCAAAAGTGATTAAATACTTTCTTAAATTACACGATTTCTATGATTCAAAACCCTAAAAGCTTGCGATTTGGCTGAGTATCCTAGAAAGATGGCTTCATCAGATATTGGTTGAAACTTTGTGAGTGATCACATTTGTTTTTGATAAGAATCTACATCTAAAAATGTGCAATAACGAGATACTCAGCTTCCGACCACTCATTGCTTCATACGGTGTTTTGTTGAGACGATGGTTGATGGTGCTTCAAATTTGAGGTAGCAGGCTATGGAGACGGCTTCGACCCTAAGATATAAAGAAATATTTGTAAAGTTCAACATCAACCGAGTAGCTTCAACTAGAGTTCAGTTTTTTCTTTCAAAAATACCATTTAGTTGAGGAGTGTATGGAGCAGAAAAGTTGTGTTCAATGCCTTTGTAAGTGAGAAACTTTTCAAATGTAGCATTTGTGAACTCGGATCCATTGTCACTATTAATTCTTATAACATGAAGTTTAGTCAGGACTTCACTTCCTTTGATGAAGTTGTTGAGCTCGGAAGTAGTTTATGAATTTAATCTTAAAAAGAAAACCCATGAGAACCTTGTGTAGTCA